ACCTTAATTATTAGTAGAGCTGTGCCCATACAAGCCTTGATCTCACGGTTGATGCTATATATTTATTATTGATAGTAAAAATTTGCTGAAATTAATAAATATTTTAATTAAATATAATATAATTAAATAGACATAAAGTGGGGAGATGGGAGATTTTAAAGAAAAAATTGTTGGAAGAATTTTTAATATTATAATTTGGAATGAAATTTGGTGAAGTTATTTTTAGTATAGTGTATTTTGTGATTAATGTATGATTTGATTGAATTATATAAGATTTATTAGAATAATATTAAATTTATAACAAAAACACAGTTTAAAAGAAATTTGTTGTTCTGAGGATTAATATGAATGTTAATTTCGATAAATATTTAAAGTTGTGAAATAAACATATTATTATGAGCTCAAAATATGTTCTATCGTTAGTCTGAAACTTAACCTATCGATCACTATTTCATTAAAACAGAGATTAATTTTCATATTGATTTTTTTATTAAATTTAGATGAATCACTTTGAAGTGTTTTGATATATATGGGAGGCACCAAAAGCATTTTCGAATTTTTAAAAGTGATTTTTCACCATTAAAGATAAGAAGAGCAAATAAAATACTATACTAATAAGAATAAGGCTTGAGAAATTAACATGCAACTCTCAAAATTAAATATGTCAGTTTTCTAATTTTTTTTATATTAGATTTGTCTTTGATGAGATGCAAATAATTTTCAGACGAAATTTCTGATAGAAATGATTGAAATTTTCGGTATTGAATAAATTTTTTAGTATACTTCTATCAAATTTTCGGTAAGAGTAAATTTTCGGTAGTGTATTTGAAATTTTCGATAAATCGAAAATTTCAAATTTATGTGGCAGTACAGGAAATTTGAGTTATAATGAAATTTTCGATAGGTTATGTATTCCAGTTTTTTCAACGGTCGGGATTTTGCCGACATATTTGAATGGTTCTGATTGCACCGACACATTTGTATGGTCTAGAATGTATCATCATTTGTATAAATAGGGGTTTCAGGTTATAGGGTAAGAGATCTCAAAAAATGCCTCTTCCTGAGTATCTGGTTAATGGAGAAGTGTATTACAATGAATGCAACCCTTCTGTTAAACTCAAGATTCCAGATTGCTCTGAATCCCTTGCCACCTTGAAAGAAACGTTGAATGATTTGCTGCGTGATTCTGATGACAGAAGGGTGAAAAAGGTCGAGTTCAAAAAGATTGGATTGATACAAATGGAAGGGTGAAATACAACTTAATCGAGTTGAAGAATGATGCAGATGTGAAGGCCATGTGGAAATCATTTCTCCGTAGGATAATTAAAGGTCCGATCGAGTTGGATGCAAAGATCCGAAGATCCGTAGACGGCATAATGAAGATGCTGAAACGTCTAGAGTCATCTGGTAGTGCCTAGGTTTCCATGTTTAGTTGTTTTATGGTTATGTTTGTTGTACTTTGTTATGTTATGTTTATCATCAAATTGAAACATGTAATCACCAAAAGATTATGCAATAAATAAGATGTCTGTGTGTCACAATATATATATATATATATATATATATATATATATATATATATATATATATATATATATATATATATATATATATATATATATATATATATATATATATATATATATATATATATAATACAACCATAATAAAATAGATCAACATAGACCCTCCACGGACTATATCAACTAACCTAGCTAAACTGGTATTAGATCTCACCATCAGGATTTACCAAACCCATGAGGTTATCTAAATGAACTGCAATAAACTGTAGACGGCTATCCTGGTCACCTGCAGGAGGTGGAGGTGGTGGTGGAGGCTCGGCAAAAACCTGGCACCTGAAGGCCCTGGAACATCAGATACTGCAGTCGGTGGCATGACCCGAAAGTGTGACACACTGAAATCACTCTAGGTATTCATCCTCACATTGCCCAGGACGCTAAACCTTAACGACTATATCCATGATCTCGCGGGGGGGGGGGGGGGGGGGGGGAGCTAAGGATGTGACTCTGAAACCATCTATCAATGTCATCTGCTGGAGCATTTGGAACTGGACGAGGGATGCCTGCACATAACCATATTGACGTATACACCTCTCAGGAAAGTGTCTAACCACATGGTTCTCTCATCTAATATTCCCTGAATACAAAGTAGACACCTCAAATGGACGATGAGTGTGATGAGATGTATATGGTGTCTAGACGACATCCTCTAACATCAGTGCATCTAGCCTTCTCATGTACTCCATCAAACCTCTTGGATGGGATTATTTTCCCTTCCATCTCCTTGCACATAGAACAATAGCTGGTACATGTTGGATCTTCCGCTCACAGATGTGAGGGAAGTGCTCATATATCTAACACTGCACAAATAAAAACCATCAAATAAATACATCCAAGTAACTAATAAAAACCACCAAAAAAAGGAAGAATACCTGTAACTGTAACAGGCTAAGGTAACCAGCAAGTTGTCTGGTCTCAGGATGAGAAGCAACATCAAGTGTCGTGTACAGCATGGTCAAGACCGCCACCCCAAGCCCAACATGGAGTGTCAAGTGTGTTGAACATAGACAGGTACTGAACATCAATGTAAACTATAGACTTGTCTGCAAAGAGAGTACATGCCACCAGATGTAGTATGTACGCCCTTGCGGTAACCCATAACCTAATTGGTCTATATCATTTAATATGTCAGTCATCTCCCCAAATGAAAGATGAAAATATGATGTTTCTGGGTGTCACCTCTTAATAAAAGCAGATGACAGGGAGGTGTTCAACATGGTCAAAGAGCCCTCAGCAAACTTCAAAAGATGAAAATCTCTAACGATATTCTTGACCTCCTCAGGCATCAGACTCTCAGGGAAGTTCTTCAACTTCGAACCATGAGAAGCGATCTTCAGCACTTAACGCTCCTGTAAGAAGCAAAAACAAAATATTATACATCACATATTGTAAGCAAAAATAAAAACTATGCAATTAAAGAAAACCAATTATATACCTCACCCTACCATACCCTGTCGGTGACATGGTCACAAATCTTGTCAGCACGGACTTGTCTGAAGATCCTCTAGGAAATGCTCCATTTGTGTGTACTGATGGCTCCATAGTCATGGTGTCCGTATCAGTGGAGAACACCTCGTCAACGCGCTCAACCAGGACCTCCTGCTCTCCAACATGCTTAACCTTCGGCTCCACAACAGGAATAGAAGCGTGAATCTCCTCAATAACCTCCGCAATTTTCGGTTCCACAACAGAAACATGAACATGTACCTCCACATCATCTGTCTCCACAACAGGAATATGAGTTGGCTCCCCAGCAGTGGAAACTCTCAATCCCCGACGGCGGGGTGCGCGAAACTGAGCCTGCTGCTCTGCCCTCCGTTTCCGGTTAGAACCGGTCGGAGGGCGTCGGTCAGCCGTAGCTCCGAAGCCTGTGCCTCATCAGCCCGGGCCTGAGCTTCCGCTCTATCACTCTGCCTACCCGCAACAGTATCGTCTTTGCCCCTGGTTCTCACTGTAAAATAAAAAAATTAGAAAAATATGAACTACCGAAAATTTCAAAATTTCTAGTATTTTTTCCAAAAAAAAAATTAAACTACCGAAAATTTCAAAATTTCTGATATCATTTAAAGTCCCAAAAGTTTTGAAAGTTAAGGTACAAAAGGAAAATGGTTACGCTGGAAATTTCAAAATTTCCGATACGAAAATATCAGAATTTTTGAAATTTCCGATGCGGTATATTGGATATTTCGCAAATATACCGAAAATTACTTACTATCTCACAAGATTTCTGGTGTCGTCTTGAAATTTTCAATATCGCTACAGAGTTTTGAAAAATTCCAGTTAATCACAGAAATTTAGAATTTCTGAAAAATATTTAGATAAAGATAATTTGCTCTTTTCATACCATTTAGAGAAAATCAAATATAAAAGAGGAATGACATGTTAATTTCTCGCTAGACTTGTATGAACACAATCATAAATCTTTTGATTTGGAGACACTCACATGTAATAAAGTGTAGGAAAAAAATAATTAATTTATTATTAGTTGTATTGATATAATAACGTTTTCTATTTTTGTTTTTTTAATTTGTGTGAGTGTCTAAATTTTAATTATTTAAGTTTGTGACCATATAAATATTGCTCCAACCGTGATATCTCAAGTGTGACTTATTGCTTTTTTTTCAATTTTTTATATTTATCTTTTTCTCTTTTACTTCATTTAGGTTTCAATCGAAAAGGTGAGAAATCTTATATATACTTTGTCTATTAAACTTTTAAATTAATTTTGTGAAGTTTTTATCAGTAATAATAATTCAATAACACATTCTCATGCATCCCACAGGTGGGTAGCGACTAATTTTACTTTAAATTGAACAATTTACTCTTTCATATTCATGTCCTATATTGATTTTCCAAAACTACTATCCGTGGGGTTCGGTGGCAAACAGTATTAAAATATACATTTGACCTAATGAACACATTAACAATTGTTTAATTTGAATTATTCACTATCTATTCATTATGTGTATGATACAAAAGATTAAAGTATAACTCTAGTGGTTACCTTGATAAAAAGAAAAAAGAAAACACTATACTAGCCTCATTTACACACATATAGACCCTTCCTCAGTAGTAGAAAAGCCGAACAAAAATCAGGGGTCTGTTGAGAGATATAGAGAGATCATAAAAGCAAGTATTCGCTCTCCTTTACATGAAGATTCCCGGGTGAGTCACCGTTTTCAATTCATTGCGAATCTATCTGCAATAATCATTCAATGTTGCTTCCAATTAGATCAATCCAATATATGTAAGTATAATGTAGAGTACATAAGCTGCAGTTATCTCTTCTTCTTTGCAGCCACATGCATGGTGAAATACCAAGCAATTTTGATGTCTTGTATGTATGATGCTTCACATTCTATAAAATATTTGAACATAGTCATATAATAAGGTCATCAGTTTAAGCTCCATCCAAATTAGTTAGAAATGTTCCTTGTGGAACTCAAATTTTGTTGGACCCTTTTCATTGAACTCGAAGCATAGTTTATTAAGTTCTTTGGCCAAAACTGGTGCGCCACAATAAAATACCCCTGATATTAATTAAGACAGCCATAATGTTAGTATAAGAAAAACAGAAAATGGTATATATGATACTACCATGTATGAAGTGCCAACATATGCTCGATGGAGACTAACCTATTCGTCCACTATAGTGCTTGGAACACATTTTAGAGAAAACCTTCTTCCAATTAGGCCTAGCAAAATGTGTTCGTACCTGGTAAGTAGAAATTCAAAGCAGTTATAATTTACTCAATGTCCATCCCAACTTAGAAATTAGAGAGCATCAAGAAATGGAAGGCTTACCCTAGTTCCAGAAACAATATCAACTCCATTTTTGGCATGGTTAAGTGCTTGAACCATGGTGATGAGGGCAGATCTAGCATCTCCTTCCTCGTATACGCTAGTCAAGTAGTTGTGCATCTCAATGACACCCTGAAGTCCATAATTTAACAATCAACATTAACCAATTGCAAGTAATCCTTATTCATCTTAAGGAAGGAAAAGGAATACTTAATTCTTCAAGAGCAAGTATCTATAATATAAATAAATCTTCAGCAATATAACTAATACCCTTTGATCAAGCTCAGCTACTTCGTTCATGACTCCTTTGAACCAATCAAAAGAGCCTTGCTCTCTTGTAACCCAGTAGAAATAAGCGTTGGTAGTCTTCAGAGTTTTCCTCCTTTTTGGAGCAATTTTATTAACAGATGGTGAATCAGTACTCCCAACGCTTACGTCTGAAGCTCTACTTGTATCAGAGACTGAATCCTGGATGGGGGTAAATGTATTGCTAATTTAGTCGTGCTATATTTACATATGAATGCTCAAATGACAATATTTACATATGAATGCTCAAATGACAACTTTTTATGAGTTTTAACATGGTTGATATCATAAGTAATACTCACCGCCAGCTCCTCCATTTTGATAATGTTGTTGAGAAGATCTTTCAGGATGCTGATGAAAGGAGTTGCTCCTATACCGAGACCGACCAGTAACAAAACATCATACTTTTTATAGTCTTGTGCTGGTGCCCCGTAAGGTCCATCTATCTTTAACTTTGGCAAACTGTATCAACAGTTAGCAAACAGCAGAAATATCAGCATAAATTTATAGTTGATGACCAAAAATCTGAAGACAAAAAATATAGTGCTACATGTACCTTTTCTTTGTCGTTTCATCAGCCCTAAGAAGCCCGCTCCTCCCTAACACAGGAGGCTCACAGGCCTCTGAAAATACCCTTTTAAGCTCCTGAGTCCAGTCACCAAGTTGACGAATGTGAACACTCAGAAAGTCATCCCCAGGGGCTGAGGTAATAGAGAACGGATGCCTGTCATCATACATATATTTCTCCGTGTTACTTTTAGACACTGACACTAAATAGGGCAAAGATGCCATAACTGAATCGAGACTCCTTATTGCTCATTAATTTTAATTCAGTTAAAAACGCAAATATGGTATGAAGCATGATGTAAATTATAACACCTCAGTATTCAACTAAAATGAAATGTATTGTCCATTAAACTGAAATGCAACTTACCACTCAAAGGGAGACACAGCAGAACATTGTACAAACATGTATTGTCCACTTTTGTAGCGAAATTGAGGAGGCTTAGACATTTGCAATGTGAGAACATTTCCAGGATAAATAGCAACCTAAATGTTTCCCACAAATAAAAAGGAAAGTGAAATAAGTTAACTTTGGTGCATTTACAGGATAGTTTTGATTTATATAAAGTTAAGGTGAGTCAAGTGTGATTTCTGAGGTCCGGGTCCTTGCAATTTTTACTTTGTAGAACTTCACTCACTGGATAAATACAATATGCCCAGACAAATCAATTGTATGCAAAACAAAGTGAACCCATATTATTAATGAAGCTGGTACTAATTTTAAGAGCCTGCCACTAATAGTTTCACTCCCTATGCTCACCTTTATAATACGAACTGTATAAAAGCCAGAACGAAATAATCTGAGTGTTCTTTCTGACGCATAGAGTAAAACCGGAACAGCGAGATACATCCAGGTCTGAAAATCAAAAATCAAGGGGTCAAACAACTAATCACCGTAAACAATGTATTCATAAATATCCTAAACAATTGAAATCCAATTCTATAAATTATATACCGTTTTATAATACCATTTGTGCACGAGGTAAAGTTTTACACCGTGGACAATGAGCAGGACATAGACAATGACAAACAGATGGTGTGAATACCAGAAGGCATTGAAGCCAGTAAGCCTACTAAATGGTTCAGGCAGCTTAATGAGATTCCTCCTGAACCATTTTGTTGCGAGAGTAAATGCTATTGCCATCAAAACCACCATCAAAATCCCAGTGATACCCGAAACCCCTTTAACTAGGTCTGCATAACTAGGTCTGTCATGACCAAATACACCATTCAAATACTTATGATAATCAGCTTCAGACGAACTTACAAGTCTTGGAAAATCACAAGCAAGGTGATCTCCGACATGAAGTATAACACCGATTACGATTGCCCCAGCAATTGTCTGTAAGAATCAGAAAGTAACAACCGAAATCATATACTTGTAAAATTTACATAAATTTGTAATTTAAGTTTCTACTATCTGTCAAAAACATAGTCTCCTCCGGACTCTGGAGATTTCCTAGCGGTATGAATTAGTACCTTATGGAAGTTGATGTTGTCGTCAAAAGGTACAACATGAGATAGCTTTGTAGACCTGAGCCAAGTTATGGTGTTTCTGCAGACGGGTAAAAGAATAAGTGCCATGTTGAATTTCAACGTCTCAGCCCCACCTTTGGCTGTGGGAAGACAGTAACCCATTATATGAAAAGCATCCTTTTGCTTGTATTGAAAAAATTTCCATGTGAAGAGTCCAATCATTATGCAAACCCACAATGTTAAAACCCAAAGTCTCCTCCAATTCTCTTGCAAATAGTAAATAAATCTGCGGCTCACCCTACGTATAGGACTTTTCATTCTAAGTCCCTGTAGGTTCTGACTCAAAGCTTGGCTTGTGTAGCTTAGAGCTTGGGAGTAGTTGAGATACGTGTCCTTTTGTAAAAGAAGTGTCTCCAATTGCCATAGCTGCATGCATAGGAACAACATAATGACCATCCAAAAGGTCGCAAAATATTCAGAGGTTGAGTTGTATAAAACACATTTCAGCATGTTAATGATGTGCATTATATGCATTACAAGAGTAACAGAATTTTAATAAACGTGGATATATGTTGAGTAACAGGTAAGTATAACCCTTGAAAACAAAGGCCAGAAATTGAAGCTTATGAAAAGAAAATGGATATCCATGGATTCCTTCTGCCATTGCATTGGTGGTTATTAGTTCAGGTCAAGTGTATCAAGACAGTAGGAAAGGAAATCCCTCAACTCATGGCATAAATTATTTTTAACCAATTGTATTTATTGGTTTGCAGCTCCTCTCTCACATTAAAGGAAAGGTAAACTGCAAAGGAATCAATTTCCATTACTTGATTTCAAGTCCATAATTGAGAAAATAATGGAAGAAAAAATTAAATTAACTGATGAACAATACTCCAACTAAGATCAGCACGCAATAGCTTCGTTAGGTTTTAAAAAACGGTAACGGTGGCGTCACGGTCGCGTAAAGGTTTTTGCGATTTTGATTTGTACATGTGTTACGACACTGATTGCGGTTGTCGCGGTGGTGAATTGTTCTTCAATATAGAAAACAGTAATAACAGTATCGGTATCAGTATCTACCAAAACCGTTTTATCGTGGCAGTATTCGCGGTCGCGGACCGTTTTTTAAAACCCTGGCTTCAACTATGCCCCTGAAGGACTTTCTGCCACAGTACTGTTCACATTTACTTTTAAATAGTGTTGAGAACATTCACTTTAAAACTTTGTTACAACAATCATTCTTTTATTTGATAAAGTATGTGGGCCAAATTCCAAAATAGCATCTCATTTCAGTAATGGCACAAAAATTTCATCAACAAAAAGTGAGTGTTTAAAAAGTATATTGCCTATGAAGCACTAAGTCTTACAAAATGCTTGACACTTGACACGGTTAATATAAAAATTATAGGAGATAGACGGTGCTACATATATAATTAACATTTACCGATCTACTATTAAAAAAATTTATTTGAGGTTTGTTTAAAGAGTGTATACTATGTGTCGAACCATAGAAAGAAACAAATTTTTTTAGAACTCTTTAGTGAACAGCACTTCTCTTTACTTTTAGCTTTGAAGCTTAGTGAACACAAAAACCAGTACTAACCCGCACTGTTTAAAAATTGTACAAATTTCTTCTAAAAGGTTCTATTGGTCTAAGAAATAATAGGTCCCTAATAAATACTTATATTGATCAGCATCTACTTGCTTACTCAAGGAACTGAATAATTAGAAGTATCAGCTTAGTCATATGTTAGGTACATAGTAACTAAGTCGTCCCTAGCTAGCTACTTGAATTTATGTTAAATTTGTTGACAAAGCAAAAGATGAAGAAATAATAAAGTATATGGAGTAGTTGACAATAATGTATAGCAATGTTAATGGAATATCAAACTTTTTTTTATACAAGGACATCAGTCAATTTATTTGTTTAACTTATAACTGCTTGCTAGATTGAAATAATTTATCAAATACGCCTGATATTTTCACTCTTCTTTTTCTAAACGGTTGAACAACAAAGAAAATGTTGTGTGATTGGATCAATTACACAATTTGGCCCAACTGTGGACTAAAGAAAGGGTCGTAGTCCAACACTGACTGATTGTACGCAAGTCAAACTATGACTAAAAAAATAGGAGGCCCTAGCAAGTAGCAAATATACCTGTGGAACATTATATTCTCTTTTTTATTGTATTAATGGAAATAAATTCTAATCAAGGGATAGAACTCAAGTGGTTAAAATAATTCTAATTTAAAGATTGAACATTCGGAAAAAAAAATCAAATTTGGTAACATAATTATCATCAAACTTTGTTTTATCTTTAGCTAAATTCTAGATTATCAATAAAAAAAATTCACCAATTCTTTCTAAAATCAACCAACATTATCGACAACATTTTCCACAAACAAACAATTATTACAATGAATAGTTATTTGTCCATTGTTTATGTGGGCATGCTAAAAAATCATATTCGATTCTTTTACCATGAGGTTGATATTAAAAAATAAATTGTCAAATAAATTGTCAAATTGCGACGTTCATTGAAATTCAACTATTGAAACTTTATTCACTTCATAGTTTGATTCTTCTACCATGAGGTTGATATTAAAAAATAAATTGTCAAATTGCGACGTTCATTGAAATTCAACTATTGAAACTTTATTCACTTCATAGTTTGATATAGACGTTGATATATTTTATCATCATACTGTAACGTTATCATTGTACTTGGTATTCTAGTAGTAGTATCCATTGTTACCAAGGAGTCAAATTCAAATAATTACTATTAACACCATTTTTTTTCTCTTTTGCTTATTTATTTTTACTACTCCCTTTTTCTTAGTCAATGTCTCATTTTCTATGTCATATTAATCAATATTTAATCCAATTTTTAATTGTTATTATTTTTTTCAAGGTCTATTATAATATTAATTATTTTTCATTACACTCTTAACTACGTTAATAGTTTTTTATAAAAAATTATTAACATGTTTTAACATTAACGGTGTTATTTAAAACTTATTTCGGATGAGACATGAATATCAAAGACTACTTAAAACGACCACCACATTTTTTTTAATAAAATGTATGCTAATACCTCAATGTAGCCAAGTCTTTCAGGGTCTAACTCTTCCATAATCAAAGCTGCATATTCTTCCGCCTGCTCCTGGAGTCTAGATAACTTATTTGCAGAAGCACTTAACATGATGACCTGGAAAGAAAGAAATGCACCAAGAATTAGATAATGAACTATTTAATTAATTAAAAAAATTAACTAAATATTAGTACGTGGTTAAGAAAATGTCTATCTTGTGACAAAAGAAATGCTTTTAGCATAAAATGACGACCACACCCCCACCAACTCCACTCTGAAAACGTCTTCACTATGAATTCCAAGAATTTGGTAAAAACAGAGAAATGAAAGCTCCATCTCTATGACCTAAACCGAAAAAAGTAGGACATGACTCTTGAATATCTACTACTACCAACTAATATTATGCTTTGGATCACGGAAAATTAATGTCTAGTGTGAACTCATTACTTAACTAATGGATTTTTAAGTAATTATTTTTAATAATCATAAGACTTTACTTTGTCCACGCCAGCCAAATGTTGATTAATTAAAAGCATGGATGCAACGTTTCACGTATACATAATATGAAGAAAATGTCACTCTAAAGAAACATTAAAGTTGATTGTTCAAACACAAATATAAAATAGTAAACAAAATTTTCAGTTAAATATAAAATTCCTCTATACCTCTTTTACTTCTTCTTCGGTGATTCTTCCATCTTCGTTCTTGTCCACCCTGTGAAGGCAATTAAAATATTATATGAAAATTAAAAACATAAGGCACTTAATGATTACTTCTATAATAATAATTGAATTACAAGCTAAGAATGCTTCAAAGTGACATTAAAATATTAAAGTAAAATATACGGTGACATTTAATAATGAGGAGTTTAATTTGACATTGGATAGTGCCAGTGCGAGTTTTAAAGGTAACCAAGATTATTAATCACTAATTAAATATAACTACAATGCAACAATAGAACAATAAACAATAAGCATTGAAAGATTACATGTCAAAGAAGATCTGGAGCCGAGAATCAAAACTTTGATTAGTAATTTGCGTCCAGAAATCGAAAAGTTCTTCCCTGTTTATCTTCTCAACCTTCAATCTTTGTTTACGACCTAATGCATCAAAGAGTTCCTGAGCAAATTCCTTGGAATCTTTCATACCTTTCGAAAGAGAGAAAAAAAAACTATTAAGATTTAAGACTATTTCAAGTAAAAAAGAATTATCAGAAGAAGCACTACTCAAGATCTAAGCAATTTTTAGGATGTAAAATTGATTAAACTATAATGCATTGAAACAGAGAGAAATTAAACGGTTTATTTTATCATTCGAACAATGCAAGATTATTATGAATAGAGATTTCAGAAAAGAAATTGACCTATGCATTGACCGAAATCGACGCGGTGAAGAAAACCGTCTTTAGCAAGTTTATCGAAATTTCTCTGCACTTCATTCCACGCATCTAAACCGTTGGATTTAGTACTGATGAATTTCAAACTCCGGAGTGCTTTATGAGCACCGGTGCGAGTGCGATCAAGCTGCGCGCGTTGCTTCCTGAGAGCACGAGCAGCCAACGCCGTTTCAAAACCACCAACTCCGGCACCGCTAGTTCCAGTATGACTATGACCAGCGGAAGATGAAAGAGCACGCGAAGCATGACCGTGACTCCACGAGAATCGTCTTAGCTCCTGCGAGAATTGCTTCGCCTTAGCAACGGCTTCGGCTTTCAGCTCCTGCGAGAAATGCCGGAATCCTCTCGACGAGTTTCTCCGGATCGACGGCGACATCGGAACAGACGCCGGAGTATCATAACCGCTTCCGGCGACACTGGCGACACTATCGTCAATATTAACATTAGCACCAGCTGGCTCAACACTACGAAGAACGATTGTGTCATCGTCTCGAAGATCGATAGTAACCTCCACAAACTCATCGGAAGCGTAACTAGACTCGGTTCCCGGCGACGTCCCGGCGCTGACAGTTACTTTTCCGGGAACAGTATCTGACGCCCAACGCCTCTCGTGCTTCGGAATATCATTCATTGATCACACGATAATCAATATACCGATCAGTCTAAATGATTTTCTCGTTTTTACCCCTCAAATTGAAATTTGTTATGCTATGCTGGTATTAGACACGCGTTCATAAAATGGACAAGTGTAGATTGAATAGACAAAATTACGATATCGAATTTATATCGAGAGAGAGAGGAGAGGAAAGTAAAATCTTAGATACATAGATTAGGCTCTGTCATAATGTAATAGCTGAGAGATAGGTAGAAGAAAGAAACACAAATTTATGGAATGGTTTGTAATTAAAATAATAAAAATAAATTTAAAAAGTGTGTTTGGTTAGATTTAATTTAATCAGTGTGAAATAAAAAACAAAAGGTAATAAATAATGGCCACCAAAAGATGTTTGTTAAAACTTAAACTAATTAAAATTTAACTAACATAATTTTTTTTAAATTGTCAAGTGGCTTAATTTCACTCTCTAAAAATAATAAATATATCACAAATTCAAACTCGCGTCTTTACATTTATTTTTTCGTGACCGTCAACTGAGTTGGTTTAATCGATTAATTAATGATTTTTTGGGTCCAAAAAATAGTTTGTGGCAAGACGCGGTTGGAATGACTTGGCTTTTGAAGTAGTGGATGCAGAAGGTGAGAGAGAGATAAAGTGTGGGAATGGCGAGTCGGAAAACGAAAGAGAATATGTCTATTTTACGTTAGTGGGGTCGCTGATTCTAGAACGGCAAGGATTGATTTCAATGTCAACTCCACTCACTCACACATGATTTCCCTTCGTTCTTCTAATTTTATTTTTATTGTAACATTTTATCTATATAAAGAAGACCTTTCTTTCTAATTTAATCTTAGAAATTACTAACAATTAAGTTTCTTAAATTTTTTCAAATTTGATTCGTTGACTTTTAAATTTCAATTGAATTATCTATCTTATAGGGTATCAACATAATTTATTTTAAGTTATCTTTTATTTTAAGTAAAATGTATCATTATAATTTATTTCTATTTTGAAATGGTGTTTAAATTTGCAAAAGATGTAGCAATATAGAATTTTCCTTCTTTTACTTTACTTTTTGGAAAAGGTAATATAGAATTTTCCTAACACAATTTAATTGGAAAAGGACCACAGACAAAAATATCAAATTAAAACTTTTAAAAGCTACATTTTCAAATTTAAAAAATAAAATAAAAACAAATACTAACATTGTATTAGAATGTTTCTTATTTATGGAAAGGAAAGATCCGCGTTTTCACAATTGGTATAAAAAAGTTAAGATGGTATTGGAAAAAAGATAGATAAAATAAATAAAAAGAAATTCAATAGTAAATTATTGTTTAGTAAAGGAACATACATGTCTAGTGAAGTGATGGAATTACGCATTGATGTTTTTGAGCAAATTTTCGGTATGAAAAAATGGGATTGAGATGCACCGTTAACATTTTAATGTTAAAGTTATTAAATGAATTATAAAGGAGTAGAGTAAATTATAGTTAAAATATATCTCAAATTTGTGTGAGATCCTTTATATATGAGGGGCAGTTAGAGATCTTTCTTACTTTTAAACATGGAATATGGAAAACTGTTAGATGATATCTAACGGTGAATAATCATTTCTGGTGTGGATTGAGTATGAGTCTCAAGATAGTGGTTATATTGTACTTTAAACACTTTATGATTTTCGATCGAGGATTGAGCCTCATTGTTATTGGGCCTCTGGTCGGCTCGGAATAGCTGCCCCAAATATTTATCTATTGCAGTAATAGAAAGTTTTTCAAAATATTGGATCGCCCTCGCCCTAGGTCGAGATCTTCACAACGAGTCTTTTGTTTGCAAAAGTGGAAAAGATTTAGAAAGCTGAAGCGACTGACCTTCCGAACATGCACATTAAATGTTAGTCTCATCATTAAGACACTTCGCATGATTACATTTATATATGGTCATAAGTCTCTAGGGTAGAGTGTGTTTATCCCCTTTAGGATGCTCAAGTATACTCAAGTAATATGGTAATTTCGAGGCAAATCTAACATTTGTTTTTCATCTTCCCTATTTTCCTTCACTTCGGATCGTCGAATTGTATATGTCGTTCCACTATAGAAAGGTTATTTCACCTTTTAGAGAATGTTTCCATTCTCCGAACAAACTATAACATTACTCTTATTTTCGCAAACTCGGATTCTTTATCCCCGAGCATCGAAGAATCCTATTTTACATGTTCTTTTCCTTCCTTGAATTTCACACATCCTTAATTCATCGCACTTTTAGAGCGACCTTTCGTCGTATCTTTTCCTTCAAACTTCTAGTTTTTTCTAAGTACAACTTATATCCTTCTCATTTACAATGTTATTTTCTCTTTTTATTTTATTTTTTATTTTAGCCATGTCTAATGTAGGAGATAAACCTATGAATGTCATAGAAATATCTAGTGGCGATAATGTAAGTGATATTTTGTCTCACATTGATGTAGTAGATCTAAAGATGTTGAATGTCTCTCTTTTGGTAGTCGCCCACTATTCGCGGGATTTTCTCGCGAACAATCTCTATCCTATTAATTAAAGGTTACTTGCAGGACCGACTGCAAGAGTCATATACTTAGAGTTAAGTTTGAGAGTGTTTGGGTGTTTGAAATGATTAAAGTACGAAAAACATAATAAGAAAAGGTAAAAAACAAAGACAAATAAATAATAAATAAATTGCAAGACTGGAATGATGAACAAGACTTTGAAATAGACTGCTTCAAATTTAAAGAGGGACGCAATCATACATTTCTCAGAACTGACTCGTTTCTCTAGACGCTGCTACTTTGAGTGCTCTTTTACAATGTTATAAAATGAGACCATGAAAATTAATACAACAATTGTTTATATAGATGCTAAAATGTAACCATCGACGGTTACTTGAATAACTCACGTCGAGAGTTCGTGTGGAACTTCTTTCAAACCTCCCACGTTTTGCCGACACTTGTAGTTGGCAACTACTTTTGCCTTCACTTGATCTTATTTTTGACTGGCCTAGGCTTCATCGACCTAGCCTCTACTTCGAATACTATTTCAACCCAATTTATGAGGATTACCCCTCAAATCTTATCGATGGCTCCTGTTTATTCACATGCAAAATAATTGACCCTCCTTTTGATAAGATACCATCCACCTTATGACCTAATCCTCTTAGTCGAAAATTACTTGTCAACAAATTGCCCCCCAAAATGCCAATTTCAACGAAGCTTTTGTCGACTGAGAACTCTGGCGTTTTAACTTTTTGAATTTTCGACTGCACGTCTTTTCAAAAGATGTCATGTGTCATGATTATCACTTTCTATGACACTATTCCCCATTCCAATCCATCATTTCTCATAATGGCTCATAGTTTCCAGGATATGGGATTTAGCAAACCCTACTAACTCTTCCACTCCTGAGTTTAGCGATAATCATTACTATCTAAATGGGTGTCACCTGTCCACCATTGACGGCCTCAATGAGCCTATAAATATCCCTTTACGTTTGTTGTCTCTTCTTCTTCTTCTTCTTCTTCTTCTTCTTCTTCTTCTATCTTGCACCCATTTTTCTCTACAAACGTTGCTGAACCATCAACTGTTCTTTCTATAATCTTTTGGCTACGAAACACCCATAATTTTTTCTCTTTTCCTTCTCTTTCATCCCAATGGCTGATTCTTGCACTGACCTGATGAACACCCGCAACAACCCTGTGGGCTTCACTCTTTTTGAAGAAGAAAATCTGGCGGTGATTCCTCAAGCACCATCTAAGGATAAACACAAAGTGAAAAGATAGAAACAACAAATGCTTATCATGTTTGTTATTGCAGAAAAACTCTTTGCATTCTATGACCCACTCCTAACTCAACATAATCATCTCAAGAAAGTTTAAGAGTACTTTCCTTGTTTCACCCTAGTGAAGCCTTTAGCTTTCGACCATGAAACACCAATTGATTCTAGATTCATAGGGTCTATGGTTTTTCTATCGATGCCCACTCCAGGTAAAAAGACTTATCTTGTTTGGTTAGGCAAAGTTCAAGGAAAAAGACAACAACAATGGAAGGATTCTGGTATCTTCAATGATATCCATCTGTCGAGAAACGCACATAGGATTAACCCTAATTTGATCCTAGCATCAATTTTCTATTGGGAAGGTACTACTAATAATTTCAAATTTCCTTGTGGGATGTTAACACCCACTTTGTTTGATTTGGCAGCCATTATTGGCCTCTCTCCTTTGGGTGAAATTTTCAACCCAATTGCCCCGACTAAAAATTCCTTTCATTTTGAGCACACCAGTCTCAAACATTACATATCCAATCATTATATCAACAATGATCATGAAGTTTATGACGAGGAGCATATCGCCTTCCTTACCCTATGGATTTCTTATTTCTTATTTTGCCTAGGATCTTTGCAGGTAGCCAAAGGCTTTGTCCCTTTGGCCATTCAAATCCATGAAGGTCGAAAAATATCACTTGGAAAACTTTTGTTGGCATAATCACACTCTAGGTGATGCTTCATCCAGGATAAATTCTCTCTCGACTCATGAAAAGGGACTAACTCTCTCAGGTCCCTTTTGGTCGCTACAACTTTGGCTGAATGCCAGGTTTGAACATCAATCAAGCTATCCCACCTCTAAAGCAACTCTTTTCTTATCGGAGCCTCGAGCTATCGAGGGCCTAAGGTTGTCTTTGATGACCCCTCAACAGGATCTCGACAGGCTTGCCTTTATGAAGTGTGTTTATTTGTTTATTGAAATTACAGTTTTTATTTCGGCCATGGCCCCTTTTATGGACCGAAATGTTGGCCCAGACTGGTTCAAGAATCCTTTTCCTGGTCTTTCTCCAAAGGCTACTGCAACATCAAATGCAGTCTGGACAACATTTTTGACCCTCATGCTACTTTTATTTAGAATTTATGTTGGGTCAAAAGGTTATGGCTTCATGAGTTACCAACCACAACTAGTGGCCCGTCAATTTGGGTTTAGTTAGATGTTGTCTATGTCCCTTTTTTCTCATC